TTCATTTCAATTAAACAATAAGAAAGATACTACTTTGTTAAAAAAAAAATAATAATAGTGGAGACAGAAAAAGTATAAAGAATAATATTTGAGTAAAATGATACATAGAATATTTTATGTAGTTAATACTTTCTCATACCACAAAGCATATTCGATTGATTTACGCTTCTATTTATTTATGTTTGTTATCTCTCTTTTGTTACCCTCAATTTTTTTATTATTCTAAATTATTTCAGATAATTTATAATTACAAAAATGTAACTTAAATAATTTATTATAAAGTAGATTGAAAGGAAATTATTATATATTAAAATTATTATGGTACTATGTATTATAATATATGAAAATATAATTTTTATACTACGTTGTTTGAATCTGTGACTTATATAAATGTTACTGAATATATATTGAAATTTTCAATCAAGTTATAACTAGTACTGAACATTTTTGAAAGACATAAAATGTACTTATACTAAAAAACACGCGCGCACAATATATATACCCACACATACTCGACACACACATACACGTACCCACACATACTCGGCACACACATAAACGCATATATACATATTTTTCTGCAATATAATAGAAATTTATATTAATAACTTACTGTTATAAAATAATAAATTAATACAGTAGATTAAACTTAATATGAATAAAATGAAATTAAATTAAACTTTATTATTTACTTAACCATTAATTTTTCAAGCCATTGTTACCACTAATTCACCTTCATCAATATTGTTTGAACTCTTACTAGCCCCTCCATTGTTTCATATATATATATATATTTTAATTATCCCTTTATTTATATTGTTTCTTTGGTTTATTTCTCTAATAGTTTATCAGATATACATATAGTTATAGTTAAACAAAATTGCAATTATGAACGGCACTTATCGCTAAACTGTAAACACATGATTATATTAAAGAAGCAATTTTCTAAGCAGAAAATGCCTAATGAATATGGAAGATATTATTTGCCTAGATAGAGAAGCAAATTCAATAGAACATTGAGTATTTTAATTGATCATTTACAATTATTTATTTTTCATTACATTTAAATCTCTTAATTTTTTTTATTCCTTTAAAGAGCAATTGTCTTATGAAATTAAAGTGAAATATCGGTTTTTCATCATTAATATAATAATACTGAAAAAATTATAGTATTTGAATAAAATTTTATAATAATAAAAATTATACAATTCTATTAAAAAATTAATACAAGTAATTAGAAAAATGATAAAATTATAAAAATTATGAAATTATATGTATTTTTCATGAACTTGTAATTTTGTACTTTTTTACTTTTATTTTTTCGATTCTTGGATAAAATCAAAATATCTTTGCGTACTTATGTGTATGCGTTATTATTTGTATAAATTATTATAAATATAATGTATATTTGGTATTTGACTAATGTATCACACACTTTTAATACTAATAATTATTAATATTAAATAATATTTAGTTTTTAATATATTTGAAATTATGAAATATATTCATATTTTAAAAAGGATATATGAAATAATAATCACCGTTTAGACGAATTATTGATAAATTCCAATATTTTTGCTATATACACTTTTTAATATATATACAAATTTATTTGCGTATTAAATGCATAATATATTCATATTATATATTTATTTTAATCCATTATTTCAACAAAATTCTATAATATACTCTATAGTTTCATTAAAATATGTGAGGTTGAATACCGAAAAGTAATAATTATTTGCATGCAGCTATAATGTTATCGAACTGAAACTATTACTAGTATTAATCTACTACCGCTAATCAAATACAGTTTTAAGATATAAGAAATTATGGTTTTATTATATATCAGCCGTTTTAAATATATATGAATTATTGATTTGAAAATAATAATTTTATATATATATATTTTCGAACTTATAATTTTATACTACAAACAATTACTTTTTTTAATATAAGATTTAATAAATTTAATTATTAAATTAATTATTTGTTAATATTTAAATAAAAATATATTATTGTTATATTTATAATTTTTATTATATTTGCGTATTAAGATATTATAGATGTTATTTTCTAATATTTGATGTAACAATTTTTTAATTTAGTTATTGAAAGGAACTTTAGGAGACATCTACAGATAAAATTTTATAATTTGCTGTTAGATATAGATAAAGTTGGTCTCTACTTTTCATTCTAACCTGCATTATCAAGGACTTTGAAAAGTATCGGTTAAAGAACATTGTAGCTTTAAGGAATCACCGCCAAGCGGCGTAACAATACCTAAAAAAGCTTTATTATTTCCAATTAATTCTGCTTAAAAGAATAATCAAATATTGGATAAACTGTGATATGTTTATATTGAATTTAAATGTTGTATATTTTGAAATTATTAAAAATCAAATTTTGAGAAATTTATATTAAATATTATCTAAAGAAATTCAGAATATTCAAATGATATTTCTGTTATTTTTTAGTAATTTTGGAATAATTATGATATAATACTGATGCATTATTTTTATAACATAATTATAAAAAATATGTAATAATTTTAACAATACTTATAGTTGAATATTGTAGAAGAAAAGAAGAAATGAAATGTAAGATATCTAATTGCTATTAATAGCATTAATTTTTATAAAAATTTATATTTCGCAAGTATTTTATTATAAAAGACATTTTGATTAAAAATACTGATGTGTTCATTATTAAGAACAATCATGGATATATGTGTGCGCGCGCGCGCACGTATATTAAAGATGTTATTAAAATTAAAAAGAAAGAAAATTTAAAATATTGATATTATTTAAAAATAAATTATTGTAAATCAGTTTAAAATAAATAAGAATATCTTTTCTAATAAAACCGACAATTAAATTAGTATTCATTTTCTCTTTTATATACTTATATATCATTATTTATTATTTATTAAATATTATTTTTATTATATATTTTCTCTTAATGTCATATCATGGATATTCTATGAAAATCTTTGTATCCTTTTCACTATTAAGAATATTGCAAAAATTATTATAAAAATAAATTAATATATACAGTTATAGATAGTCTATAGGTTATAAAATTTAATTTAAAAAGCTCAAGATTATTTTTATATTTTTAATAAATACAAAGAATTTGTAAATATTTTTGATAGTAGTTTATAGAAATAAGCCAGAAAACTTAGTGAGATTAGGAAATTAATTCCTAACAATATGGCACATCGTTATAAAATAACGTACAACAACTGGAGCCACTGAGCTTCTCGATGTAGCCTAAAGACATCAGGTGTCAAATATACTACTGCTCTAACATTAGTACTTTCGACATCGCAAGCCGCCTTAAATATTCGAGTTTCATATCCTTTTTATATCTTTAAATTCAATTAGGCAACTGACACTAGCTGCCATCAGCGTAATTATCTTGACTTTTTCTCACATGTTTTACAAACTTAAGTATATGTCTCTTTTATTTTATAATTAAAACAGGTTGATATATAATTGATAAATAATTTACATATCATGTTTTAAGGGGTGATGTTTATGCTACTACACGGGTATTCCACATTCATGTTTCATTTTCTCCTTCACTTCGTTTCCAATATAGGAATTGCCTTCATATTTATACTTTATAATGCATAAGAATCCTCATTGTATTTTGGCAATTTGCCTACACAAGCACAAATACACATCTATGCTGACTTTTCTAAATTCCAAACATGCAACACAAAACCATATTATATTTCTATTTAAAAAATCCTGAAATTTACCCTTAATATTCTCAGTTTGTTCGAAAATTTTTTAAAATGCTTCATTTAACTCTGAACTATGAAGATAATTTTTAAGCAAAAACATATTCCCTTGTAATATTAATAATAAATTATTAATTATAATGAGTCATATTCTTGATTGTCTTATTTATGAAAATTTATAAAATTTAATTTTTTATTTCTTTTGGTTATTTCATAATTTATTTAGGTAATATAATTAAAAAATCTACAATAGCTTTATCACAGTTTTTAGATATCATTCTAACGCAATTGCTAAAAAAATGTTGCACACAAGCTCTGTTATGTTAAGGAAATTATTTCCTAATTTTTAATTCATTGAATTTTATTTCATATTAAAATATATTTTCGAATATTTTGCCAACATTCTAATTTTTATAGATATAACTCAAAATGAGCACAGCATCAAAATGTTAAATCATGTTGTAATTTTTCATTATATAAATATATATACATATTTATATTTAGAAATATATGTTTTAAAAGTATGTATTTACACTTAAAAATAATTAAACTATAAAAACTGTACCTGACTGCTAATAATATAATGTATTTCGTACTACATATAATATTTTTCAAATCCCTGAGAGCCTGAAATGATAAAACCTAATAATCATTTATACATATTGCAAACATAATGCAATATGCAGCAAATAAATTCATCATTCTACAAATAAGAGTTCCTGTATAATTAAACAGTAAAAGTTAATTTAATTCAAGTTGTAAATATAATATTCCATGCGACTTTATGTTTTGTATTTTTTAATATTAATTATTTAAAATATAATAATATAATTGTAATAATATTAATTAAGTATTATTTTATACTTTGTTTCATCATTTTTATATAATCGAAATCTTTCTTTATTACTTTTTAAATGTATTTATATACATTAATGCTTTGTAATTTGTAGGATAAAATTAATATTAAAAAATATGAGAAATAAAATAATTTTGTAAAAAGGGGATATTCTTGATTAATTAGAAATATAAAAAGACTTTTTTATGTTTTGAAAATATTTTTGATTGGAAGTATTATCTCGATAGTATACAAAATTTTTTTTTTAATTTTCATATTAAAATTTAAAATAGTTTAATATTATTAGTTAAACGAGTTTTTTAGGTAAAATTTCAATATTACAGATTAAATTTATTGATTTACAAATTCACAATAATTCTTTTTCAATAAACGTATTAAAATATAGTATACACAAGAATGGGTATATGCAAAGATTTTTCCCATACACACACACACACACACACATATATATATATATATATATATATATATATATATTTATTATTTTCTGATTATGTAAAAATTTGTAGTTTTTATAAACTGTGTGAAAATATAATAAATTTATAAACTTGTTTAATAAATTACACAAACTTATGATAATATGACTGTACTTAAGTTATTTTTTATAATTATTACTATTTAATATAAAATTTTCACTAAAAATATATATTATTATATATTTTTATATATTACCATGTTAGCTTAAATAGATTTTACTGTACTTTTATTTTATTGTACTTTTATTATATTTCAAAATATCAAAGACTGCAAATACAAATAAGTAATTTTTATATAAATGGCTTCTAAAATTATCATTGTAAAGAAAATAATAACAATATTTTATTTTTTAAATTATGAAGAAAGTAATTATTATTTTTTAAAGTATTAATCATAAATTGTGTTACATGTATAATTATTCTCATAAATCATCTCAATAATTCTATAACTTATAAATTATGGAAATAATATTATTCAATTATAGATGATTTAAAATTATTTTTCATTTTTCCATTTTATTGCAGCAGAAAAATTTATTCATTTGGTTATTTGTTTCTTATAATATAAAAATAAAATAGAATTAGAGGTAGGAAAAAATATTATAGTATCAATATCAACAATCAATAAATTTGAGATTCTTGTACTCTTTTCGAAAAGATTTTAAGTTTCCATCAAAATATAATAAAACGATATTTTTCTAGTTCTATAATAGCTTCTTCTATAAATTTTGATCAAAACTTATAAATAGCGACTTTCTTATCAATAAATAATTAGTAATTTTTTAAGTAAATTTTTTAAGCTCTCCTTCAGAAGAAAATCTATCAAATCATAAGATAATTGCATTCATATCATAAAAATACAAATTATATAAAATATGAAGTATATAAAACATTTCCTTCTTTAGATTATAGTTAAGTTTTGAAGAACTTATCTCATTAAAACATAAGTTTTAAATATTTAAACAAAACACAGTACATTAAAGATGACAAAAATATGTTATTAAATTATTACATTTCATTTTGTTATATATATTTTTACTTTATATAACATGTTTAATTAGAAATATTTGATAATCCAACTAAATTCGTTGTAGTTTTTAAAATAATACAATAGTAAAATAAATAATATATTTGAAATTTAATTATGAAGAATGATAGTGAAAAGCTAAAATATTTATGCAAAATATTTATTTAGCATCAATTTGTACTGCATCCTATACTCAATTATATTTTTCTCTTTTATTGCGGAAAAAGACATTATATTTTTGTTGTCTGTTTTATGAATATGATGTCTTTAATATACTGATCCGTAGTTGTTTCTTTTATATTTCTTTCTGATATTTATCCGATGCTGAATTATCTCTTTGTTTTAGTACTATTTGCTTGTAAAAAATTAATATAATTTTGAAATGTCTATTGATTCACTTTTCATTATATTCTCTTTTTTTCTATCGTAATATTGAATAATTAATCTTATGCTCGCTTCATATATCTTTCTCAAATTCTATTATTTGCTTTTAAATAGAATCATTACTTTCATTATTTTATCTTTCCTCTTGTTTACCCTTACTTCACTTTTATTGAATGTACGTATTAGAATTTGTATGTCATCATAATAATTTATTTTTACATTAATTTTGTAGGATTTTTCAATTTTTTCTTAGAATAATATTTATTTTCATCATTATTTTCACTCAGCAACCTAATGTTACTCATCTAATGTTACTTCATTTTGTATTTCTATCTATATTTACTCATTCTTCAAAAAATAATTGTTTAATGATATTTAACTTTTCAAAATCTTTTCTATTCACTTTGTTTTATGTCAGTTACATGCTTAATATTTCATACTTACTATATTGGTTTACTTTATTATTATTGTTACATTCACTTGCTTCTTCTAGATTAATTAGCTTTTAGAATTATATCTGTTAATCTACTATTATATATTTGCATGCATAATTTTAAGAATATTGCAAAGAATACTCTTAAGTATTGTATTACTTTACTCATTTTCATAAAGTTTTGTTGTAAAAAGTACTCAGAATAAGATATTTAATTGAATTGAAATTATATTGAATAATAATTCTACTATAATCTTTTTAGATTTATATATGAATACAATTGGTTTATATATTTCTAATATTGATATTCCTAATTAAATATTACATTAATACCGATTTTTATTAAAGTTAAATTATTATTGAATTATTATATTAAAGTTAAAGATAAATTTATGTAAAAAATAATGTTAAAGCTAAATAAGTATTTATTGTATAATTTTAATTTTTTTAATGAGGAAGACATTGATGCTATTAAAGTAAAAAAATACTAAGGTGTACATAAATAATTTTTCAAACAATTTTCCTTAAATAATAGGTATAATATAAAGTATTCGCTAATTTTAATTTTGTTTCAACGTAAATAAAATGCTTACGAAACTGCTATAATTTTATCAAAACATATGCTACATTTACTTATGCATATATGAATATATGCATACATACATACATACATACACACATACATACCTATCACCATACAAACATATATATATATATATATATACTTTATCTTTATTATATATAACATTTGTCAATGTGACGACTGTCACTTTGTTTGACATTCATTTGACGACTGTCCTTTAGTTTAACAAATACAAAATTAATAAAATAAGATATTATACTCATAATTTTGACAAATACTCAATTATTTAATAAGTGACTTTATATTACATTGTGTTAATATTTTAAAGTAATCAGTCAGTAAATTTACTTTTCAAAGGATTTCATTCTTTTTTAATTTGTTAATTTATAAATAGTTTTTATTTAAGAAATTATTTCTAATATAATTTTAAATATTGTGTTTTTTTAATATTATCATTTTAAATACTACTTATTGTTTTAGAATAAAATTTTGTACCTAAAATCAATTAATCACACAACACTAATTAGAATCTATAAATTTAATAAGATAATATTTAAAAATTTAAATTATTTAAAAATAAATATCTTTATTTTGAGACTTATATTAAATAATAATAGAGTAATATTGTCATTTTAATATTAAGAAACTATTTTGGATAACTCTATTTTATCGTTAATTTAATTATTAATAAAATTAATAATAGTATCGTATACTATGAAATATTTAATAAGTTTTTAAAATGATGTTCCATCGCATATTATTTTTCATGCTTTGAACAACTCTAATGACTATATGCAAAACGAAATTATTTTAAAGTATTTATATCATAATATTTTATATATATTTTATACATTAATACTTCTCAAATCGTTTTTTATAACGAATATATTTATCAATATCATATATAATACAATTTGAATACTCACGACAATATTTAATCTTTATTTACGTAAAACAAATATTCTATGGAATTAAAAAGAGCTCAATTATTCAATTATAAATATTAATAAAAATTACTTCTTTTCTAAAGAACGTAAAGTATGAATTTTATTAGATAGGCCTGTGTATAAATTTTATTTCCCTTTCTTTTAAGGTTATCCAAGGCAAAGATATTCACTATTTAAAACGCTATTTAACTATTCAAAAAGTTAAAATATTTAAGCATTTCATATACAATATAATTTTTAATTAAACTAATTTTGAAAATACAAAGTAATATATCGTATATTTTTTAATATTGATATCTAGTATATATTAATCACTAAAAATGACAAAACTATTATTGAATAAAATAAAGCAATTGGAAAATTTAATCAGGAATTTATAAAATTTCAATTATTATGAAATTATAATATCCTATGATAGATACATTTATTAATTAATTCGATCATTTTTAAGTCTAATTATAAAAGCAATATATAAAACCTATAAAGATTTATGAACGAAATAAAAATTAATTATAATTATAATAGAATAATTTTTTGTGAATTTGTTTTGCTTTACATAAAAAGTTTTCTCCATTAATCTAAAGAATCGAAATTTAAGTCATTGAAATATCATTTTTAAAGATACAGGAATCTTTATTGAGAATGTTCGTATAAACTCAAAAAATAATATTCTTGAAGTATAGACAAACATAAATTATATTATTATATTTATTTTTAGAATTAATTTTAACGTATTTGAACGAATAAAGCGTATCTATTCAATTGCAAAATCATACTATTCAGTAACACCTGATTTAGCAGCTATGATCAAAATTGCTTAAATTATGTTGGAAGACATTAAAAAAAAAATATATATATATATATATATATATATATGCTGCATAATAAGATTCAATTTTATTAAATATAAAAAGTACATATTTGCAAAACCATTTTTGTATATCATGAAGTAATTATTAATGAAAATCTATAATTTGTAAACATTACTTAAATCATTTCATATATAATATGAAATAATTTGAATATTATTATTTTAAATATTTATCATTAACTATCATTAACTAATGTTATATTGAATATTAAAGCAGTTTTTACTGTTGAATTAGGTAAATTCCTTATATATTCAAATTTCCATAAGAAATTGATTGAGAAGAAATGTTTCAAGAAATTATTTTTAGAATTTATATAAATGATACATATGAATTATATATATATATATATATATATATATATGTGTGTGTGTGTGTGTGTGTATAATTAAATATTTGTAATTATAATAAGTAATTTTAACAAAGTACAATTACAATACAGGTCCAAGAGTCAAGACAAATAGTAAGATCGATTTTTTGTTGATAAAAGGTTTCTATCGTGTATAACTCAATATATATACTTATAGAGATTGATTAATAGAAATTCATAAATTAGAATTAAGTTACATTCAAATAATAATTTATGATTAATATATAATAAAACACATTAATTGTTAATTTATTATTTTATTATAGTTTTTCATCAATTTTCGTACTTTTTAGATATTATTTTTACAAAGTATTAATCATATGGTAAAAATTTTAGTATTATAAGAAATTTTCAAACTTTCCATAGGCAAATGCAAATTGATAAAATATTAGTTAAATCGTTTTAAAACGAAGTGAATGGAAAAATTAGAATTAAAAGATAAATCTGATGTTTAAGTAAATTTAATTAACGCATTAATTATTTTATATCTGCGATTACAAGTATTTTTATCGTGTGTAATATTGTATAAAATTTATGGAACTCATTATTATAAAATATATAAGTAAAATGAATAAAGATAACTGATAAAATTCCTTTACAATGGTTTAGAATTTAAATATATTATCGTTAGGAACCGCGTGATAATACCAAAATATAGAACATTTAAAGTATTTAAATAGCAAATTAAATTTTTGCTTCTTATATGTGGAGTAAAGCTCAAATTAATTTATTCGTAAATCATTTCGAATTTTAGTAAGGAAGTAAGTAATAATCGCGTATATCAAAAAGAAGGCACATATGTAGATTGTGACCTGCAATTCAAGAATTAAGTTTTGTGAAATGGCAAGAAGACAATAAATGCAGTTAATGATAATTTAGTTCGTTTTAGTTTTAAATTATTTTTTATATCAAATTTATAATATAGTTTATTTATAAATTTATAAATTAATATATAGTTTATTTATTAATTTATAAAATAGTCTGATATATTATAAACAGTAAACAAATAATATAATACATTCAAAGATCAAGGATGCAGTATTATTGAGTTATTAAATACAAAAATTCTAAATTAAATGTACTTTTCTAATATATTATTTAATTATACAAAAATTTAAACTTTTAAAAATGTTTATAGATAAATTTATAGATCTATTAAAAGTTAATACTTTTATATAATTATTATAATATTTTATAACAACAAATTTTTATAATTAATATAAATGAATACATAAATTAATATATATATATATATATATATATATATATATATTGTTTTTGTATTTTTGTGTGTGTGTGCGTGCGTGCGTGCACGCGCACGTGTGTATATTAATAAGTATATAAACATAATTGTATAACATTTAATTACAATTATTAAATGCATAAGACTCAAATTTTTATATTTATATTATTGTTTTACTTTGAACATGCGACGTCTAACTTTTCTGTATTTTTTTCAAACTATACTTATCTGTAAGTAAATGGAAATATATGAAATATTTTGAATTCATTTTTAATATTAGTTTTATTCTTTAGGTAATAAAAATAATTTTTTACATTCAGAACCTTTATTTGGTCATAATATTAGACAAGCAGAATTGACAGAATTTGAATTTGTTATTTGTTTATTATTAACGAGTAATCCAATACTGCCACAAAATATTTTCTGCAGTGGAACTCTTATTTCACATAAATTTATTCTAACGGCTGATCATTGCTTTCTGAATTTACCTGAATCTGGATTTCAAATACACTTAGGTTCAATTAACATATATAATGGAACAACACACTTTGCCCAATGGTGGATTACATATACTCAATGGACTATATCTAAAAATAAAAATAGGCGATACAGGGACAATGATATTGCTATTTTAAAAGTAAATGATTTCGACTATTTATCATACAGGAAAAATATATTAATTTGCGTACTTCGTATTTACATTATGATTTAGTTATTGTAGAAAATAATGAAAATTAATATCGATATAAAATAAAAAAATAGTTTTTTAGTTAATTATAGACGCAACGCAGATTACTCCAGCTGTTGTATCTAGTGTACCACATAAAAATGTAGTTGGAGCGGATGCTGAAATAGCTGGATGGGGTAGACGTAATAATGGTGAAATGGCAATTATCATGGAAACAGTAAAATTGAAAATCATATCAAATAAAGAATGCTCAGAACTAGGAACAATGTTACAACAAAAGCGTTTTTTTGTTACTCATGCAGAAATATGTTCTATTGCGCATCCATTTGCACATTTAGAAAGTGTAAGTATTAATTATTATATGTTATTATCAATGGGAAATTGCTAAAGAAATTGTGAAATTTTAAAAATAATTTAAATTAAAAATTTTATATTTTATTTTTAATTATATTCTTTATGACTGTGATTTTAATAAAAATCGTTGCACTCCAGTAAATAAGATTTTTATTAACGAATTTTTTACCTACTATTAAACTAAACAGGAATAATTCTAAATTCTCTACTTATTTATATTAAATAAAGTCGAGTAAATTAAAAAAATAAGGAATCTAAAATTCATTATTTCATTCATTGATTTTAATGTCAGCTTTCATTCATTATAATTGTCACTTCTTTTCAAATGATAATACTTAATGTATAACAATGGTTACCTACTTCAAATGCTAAAACATTTTTTTTTATTTATTCATATACCATTCAATAAAATTGGTTAAAAAACATAATAAACCCCGAAATTCTCATATTAAAAAAAACTCCTTAAAAAAAGATAAATAATACATTATTATATGAATACTTTTTTACATTTATGTAAAAAATTTGTTAATTTATCAAATAATTGTCAGTGATGCAATTATTTTTCATAATACTATTTTAAACCGAAAAATATTTAATTGCTTGCTTTTAAAATATAATTCCTTTCATATATAATTCCTTATAATTCCCTAAAAAAATTCCTTTTTTTTCATGAAATATATTAATGTCGCTAGACAAGATATAAATATTATATAATAAAATGTCATTTTTTTAAAAACAGATTACAACATTCAAATATTTCAATTCTATTTTCAGGGTGACAGTGGTGGTCCACTTTTAATTGGAGATGTAATTATAGGTGTTAACATCGGCAAATGTCCAGATTTAAATGGTACTTTTAATGCTGAAAAAGCAAACATTCATGCTAGCGTATATTTTTACAGACATTTTATTGTGGATGCTACCCAACAATGAAAACCATTCATTTTAAATAAGGGAATATTATTTAATTAAATTAAATATTAATTCTACTATTAAATTACACTCAGCAAAATACATAATTTTTCGCTAATATTCCAATGGACGAAGTTTATATAATTTTGTATTGACTACTTGATTTATTACTGTATTTATTAGTATTTGAGTTTCTGCCTATATTTGTATCTAAAAATTTACTCACCTAAATATAGAGACCAATTAATTCTTTATACAATTATTTTAGTAACATATATCATCAAAAACGTAAAATTAAAACATTTTGTGTATAAATATCGAAAAATATCTAAGTACTGCATTTAAGTATCTTTAAATTTTTTAAATCATAAAAATGAATAGTATAAATAAAAAGCAACTTATTTCTTATTTATAAACTATTGAAAAAATTTAATTATTTCATATTTATAGTTCTTTTTATGTTAAAGTATAAAAAAAGCAACATTGCATGTTCGTATAGTAATGTATATAATTATATTATTATATAAGCAATAACTAAACTGTTGACAATATATATAAATTACAAAAATAAAATTATTGAGATTTAGTGATTTAAATAATAACGATTTTTGAAGCATACACATAGGAGTTCTGTGCAATGGAAACAGATAACTATAAAACTATATATACCATGATACATAAAAATAAATACATCAATGTTTTGCAGCGAATATAAGAAAAGTATTTTGGGTAGAAATAATAAATCTAACAACGAAAAGCTTGACGAAAAACATAATGAAAGAGAAAGGAAGGAATAATGAAAGATTAAAAGTAAATATACTTCTATTAATTGTTGTTCAAAATACCGTTAAAAATATGAAATTTTGAGTGGTGAGTGATCAACAATTTAGTGCATATATGTCTTTTTACGCTATTATGAAAAGTTAATGTTCAATGATTACATAGCGCATTAGATATACGAAATAGTCTAATCAGTAGGGTAACATCTTTACATAAAATTACTATATTTGTCATTATTCCATTTGAGCGATAATTAATGCTATACCACCAATATCTAACTATTACTGCATGGTTTGAAAATGCATACAGATATATCTGTTTAATAAGAATACGTTTATTATTTTATTAATCAAAACATTTTATTAATTTTTATAAAATTAAATTAGAAATTAAAGAATTGAATTAGAAATTATTTCTTTATGTAATCTTGATAAATATGGCTAGAGCTTTTATATAAAAGAATATTAAAACTATTATTTCAACTTCAGAACGTATAATATAGAAATATAATAAATGAACAATATGTTGATATTAAAAGTTAGGATTAATAAGAACAAGAAAATACTTCTAATAAATAAGGTACTAGCGTTAGATTATGTATGATTCATCGGTCAAGCTAAACTGGTATTGCCACGTGATTTGTCATATGCCAACAGGAAACAGCCAACAATATTTAGAAAATCTGACAACTTTTAAGAACATAATGAATAATACTATAATAAAAAAAATAATTATGTATATTTATCTTCTAAATATTTTTAATAACTTAAAAAAAATGATATATCAAACATAATAATATTTTAGATCTATGCAAAAATCAATATTGTTATAAAAATACTTAAAATAAATCACGCATAAATACTTTGTATCAAATATTCTTCATGCCACGAATCATTGAAGTAACAATGATTCTATGATTTTCTTGAAAAATAAAAATTATCAATAGATTTTCCAAAGCATCTATTGATATTTTAAAATTTTAATGAAATTCTCTTTTCTCTGAAATCTACTTGTAAAACAAATTTTACTATAAACTAAATCTTAATTTGTAATATATTGATAGCTAAAATATATAATATCGATAAGTTTAAAATTCCAACTTTCAATTTAAAAACAACAAAAAACATAAACGATTAAACATATATCTTGCTTATGAAATATAGTAATTTAAATTGGTACATACATATTTGTCTCTACATGTGAGGACGTGTGTATAAAAAAATTTGTATACAATTTATTATACATTATACATGTCTTATTAATTAAAGAAATTAATTAGAATTTTTAATATTTCTATTTAATTATTTGTTTGCACCTTTGTTTCCTTACATTATCAAACCAAATATTAGTTAAGCAGTTACATTTAAAAAAAAATTATACAAAAACTAAGCTTATATTATAAATTTAAATTATTCGTGATTAAATTATTTTATCGTACATAGTATAATTACTATAGAATTAGACATTAATTACGATAATTACTATAATTTCTATTATGAATTACCATAATTACTATAATTACTTTAATTACTATAATTTCTATTATAAATAACTATAATTACTATAATTTCTATCTTTTTTATATTTAATATAAAAGAGAATATCAATACTGAAAATATAAAAAGGTGAAAATTTGTTCAAACATTCAAACTATTCTTAAATATTACTTATATTTTCAGTAATAATCAAGTAATAATCATCAACAACAAAATCCATAAAACGATTTCTTTACAAATTAATTTATAATCATTATTTATAATGACTTCATTATTTAAAATAATATATTTGAATTTTATTTTATGTCTTCTGTTTACTTTTGTTTTAACAGGTAAGTATTTATTATAAATAAAAATTTATTTGATAGGAAACATTTTCTTTATTAAGTCATAGATGATGTTTTAAATAAATTTTATTAAACTTGTGTTTTTCAATTTTTCATTAATAACTGATGTTACTAATTAATATTACTACTTAATACTATTTTAATTATAATTCAAACATTTTTAGATGAGGAAAATGTACAATATTATGATGTAGCTTCGACTAGACATATACATTTAAAACCAAATTCTATCGATGTTATAATAAAAATAAATGGAACAATGTTTATGAAAGCTCATAAAAATATAAAAAATGCATACACATTTGGCGTCATAAATTATCGCGCTGGAATTGAAATTGATAATAGTAAAAGTATTAATCTAGCAGAATGTGATTCAAATAATATCTTAGATAGATCTTTTAGGAAACCGTTCATAGTTATCTTCAACGAAAATGGATCGGTTTGTTATATTATAATATTTATTTTTATTAATGTTAATTCAAAACTTTAGTAAAACAAACACTATATACTACTTCATAAATATATATAATATATAATATTTTTATCTAAATGTTATTGTGGCACGTATCATATCTATAATAAAAAAAACTTTTTATTTAGTTTAAACACATTATCATTGGTAATAACGAGGAAAATATATCAGTAAATATGAAGTTACTTTTTAGTAGTTTAATACAAATTCAAAATACAAAATTATCTCACCAAAAAGAGTCAAAATACGCTGTTAATGTGACCGAAGTAAGTTTATTTTTACTGTATTTAAATTATAAAGTTTATTTAATATTCAATAAATCTTTTCACAGCATATAATGTATGGTGACTGTGATGTAACCTATAATATTAACAAGATGAAACTCTCTAGGAATTCAGAGGCATTGAGTATCCGGAAAACGTATAATATGAATTCATGTTCTCAAATCTATTATAGAGATACGACTACTAACAATGAACATTTAAGCGAATGCTCTACTTTTTCAGAGGTTTATCTCCAGTAACATTATTTAAATACGAAAAATATCACTATATATTAATATAATTTAGCAATTAATTTTTTTGATAATAGGCAGATGTCGATTGGAAAATAAATTCTGAAATGGAAATAGAAAAATCAAATAATACTTACATTCTGCACAATATAAAATTTTCCGAATTCAGCTCTCAAATACCATTAAAGGACAAATTAACAAGAATAACAACAAATCAAAGGTATATTAATATCAAAATAATGATTTTATTTATTTTTTTTATATATATATAACTTTATATATAACTTATAACGTTTAAATAATTTAATTAAGATAATTTCTAGAACATATATTATAAATAAAATAATCTAATGAAATTAAATTAAATTAAATTAGATAATTAAAAATTACATAATTAAAAAAAATTTAATGGGTGGTTAAATCCGGAACAATTATTCATTTCATACAATAAGATAATTTTTTTTAATGTTAAATTTTCCATTAGTTTCCAATTATAAATTATTAATATTAGAAGTTATATTGTACAAAATAGCACATCTTTATAAAAAATATTATAGTAATACTCTATTTTTTAAATTTATATACGTAAAATTTCTATTATCCGTCGTATCCTAAATAATATTTATATATTTTTATATCAATTTATCAACAAGATTCAATAACAATTAATAAAGCGAAAAGTATTGCATATATTATATTTTTAAAATTAAAAAAATTACACTTTGCACATCATTATAATTTTCAACAAGTTAATAGCTATCGTTTTTCATTTTAGTACTACGATGAAATTAAGATTTTTGCCTTTAACTGAACCTGCATTGGAAACCTATGATACTGATGACGTAGCAGCTAAAAAAATACGTTTTGGAAATATTAATCACTCTATCTTGCAAGAATCAAGCAGTATCAAATATCATAAATTAAGAAAGATCTATAAGGCATTAGTTTGTGATAAAACTAATCAAACCATTTACTTAGATTTAATTCAACGTGCTATCCTTTGCAATGCTGAATAAGAATTAAAAATTACTATGCTTCTTCGGCATTCTTTAGATTCATATTAACAAACTAAAAAAATCAATTTTTCGTTGACCTAATTTGTGGATTATTTTCAAAATAACTTTCCAATTTTATATTTGTAAGTTATTAATGATAATAAACAATTAGTTTCAAAATAATTATTTTATTTTATATATCCATGTGTGCGATTTATCATTTTGAACAAAAAATTTGAACAAATCTTATATATACATTTATGTTAATTTGTTAAATATTTTATTATTATTAATTGATAAATATAATACTAAAAACATTAATAAATTAATTATCTTGATTATTGATTTTAATTACAATTATATTTGAAAAAGAATTAAAAACAAATTTATAATATAATTAATTTTTTAAGTGCGTTGAACTAATTTAAAAAAAATTAGATAACATTTTAAATACTATTGTTGTTACTGTGGTAGATTTCAGTAGATTTTTATATTAAATTTAAAATAAATCAAGTTTCCGGACTAATAGATTAAAAAATTGAAATTGTTAGTTTATTAGAATAAAAAATTGTATATGTAATATTATTATATGCTCAATTCTACTATATTAAATTGAAAATTAACATTACATCCTGTCTTCTAATTATTATCTCTGCAAATTCTTTACTACAGAAAAATAAATAGATATAGTGTAGGTTTCTCAGACTATATAATGGCAGTGGCAAAAATTGACATATCATAATCATGTTATTATTTTAATAATAAATTTTTTTTAATTTTAATAATAAAGTATTTTAAAATAAAATAATTGTATAATTTTATTTTGTGATTCTTACATCTTTCTATTATTTCAGTATAAAGTAGTTTTTATGTATTATACAAGCGATTTATAAATGGATGATATACTCTAAACTTCATCTAAAGAATTATAGGTTGTGTAAAGATTTATTTAGCAAATGTAGATTTGTCGAAAATATAGGCCTGTTTTATTATGGAATTTTATTGGAAATGTGTGCATATAAAGAGACTGATGTAAGAATTGACTTAACTAACATAATTCTTATAACAGCATATTATATTTATAATTTAATGATTTAATTGTATATATTTATTAATTATATATTAAAAAAAAAATTTAAATGGTATTTTTAATAAAAGATCTACGAATCAAGAACAATTTAAAAATGCTATATTGAATTTTATAATTTAATTATATATCTAGATATTCTACACGTACGATATATGTCTAATACAACACGTACAGATATATGTCTACGAACATCAAATCAAATTCTATGGCATTAAACGTATGTGTTCATCAAATTTCATTATAAATTTCATATAAATTTATTGTCGTTGAAATTCAGAAGAAAATAGTACATTAAAAAGAAAATAGATGGAAATATTAGGTAGCTAAATACTTTTTCTTCTAAAAAAAATATAAATAGTAAAAATTTAGTAAATTTTTGCTGAAAATTGTGGATAGTTTACCCAATTTACAAAGTGAAATTTTAAAAAATGTAATATTTAATAATGATATTACGCACCATTATTGCAACGCATTTACAACTTATAATATTTCTTCACAAAGCTACTAATTCTATCATTTATTACATTAACAGTAAAATTATAAAATACCTAACCTAATTAATTTTAAAGTAATTTTTGAAAACACAGTCGACAATAACCATACTAGTTACTATATGATATTTTATCTTATTTTTTGTAGCTTATAATGAAATATTTACAATCATTGTTACTATCGTTATAATTAAAATTAACTTCTCATGCTCTGCATTGATTGCTCATGTTTTTATGCCTTGTTTATAAAAGATGAAAAATTAAAAAATATGTACAAATTATGATTATTTAACCTTGTACAGTATTTAATATAATTTAATTTCTTCTTCTTGTTTTAAAACCCGCGCCACTTAATTTTCAGTAAAAACTAAAGTAACGTCACTATCATACACTAGTTTGTTAATGCCGCCTGAAGTCCCTTTTTATTCCCCAAGATGATGCACAATCATTAATACTTCATTCAAGCAGTTTAAGGCATATACCCATATATTAATTTATATTTATATTTATAAAATAATAAATACTAATATACAAAATTACCCTCTCATAATATTATATGTACTTTTTTAATAGTAATAATAATAATAAAAATAACAACGCTTTTATATCCGATCGCTCGATAACACACATTCATGGGCAAAATATGTTTATTGAATTGGTGCGATATGCGCATGCGTATAAAAACGCAAAATAAAAATTATATGCTACTGTAATAGCTCTAATATCGTTATCTAACTATTATTAGTCCATTAAGCATTACAACATCCTTTAATCTCTTAACATTTATTATAGATTTCGAATAATAATAATAATAATATGACCACATAACTCCGTCAGTGTATTAGAAGTAGATTCATAGAAATACTGGATAAATAAAATTAGTTGGTAGACAAATTTACGATATATTCATTAATTCTCTTCGACAAGTTTCCATTTAATATAATAGTCTACGTAAGAACATTTAAATTCACATAACTAAAAAAAAACAAATTAGTTCACAAAGTTCTATTAACTAAAATTTATATGCTTTTTTCATATTAAATAAAAATTTTACGTTGCTTAAACGAATACAGTAAATCTCAAATTATCAGATATTCTTTAAATTCTTGATATATTATAAATGTCAAAAGATTGTTTATTATTTATCTGCGCATTATCTGTTTTATAATGATTTAAAAAAAATTTTTTAAACTTTTATATGATAGTGTTTTTTTCAATTGTAATTAATTTTGTTGCAATATATCGTAACATATATTATATATAATTAAACTGATTAGTTTAATATGTTAATAAATTTATAATTTTTAATACTATAACGTGTACAAAAATATAATGTACAATTTTATTAAATTAATCTGGTAATAAACTAAGTATATTAATTGTGATAAATCCATGAAAATTGTATTACGCCGCACAGTGGTAACTTTTCGAACTATTTGTTATCGCCTGAATCGATAAATATGAACCCGGCGCAACCAGAATATAGAGGGGCTACATGATTTTCCGCGAGTAAAATGCTTTGTATTAATTTCGGCTTCTCGATTTCTAAAATGGACAACAAAATATAATCGAGATAGCCAGTATATAATGATAATAGCTTAAAGTGATTTGCTATTTTAGTGTAGAGTCTGTTATAAAATCAACATTATTTTTATTTATCTCGTGGCGAGATAATTTTATAGTGGACAACAGTACGTCTGTTTGTCAGTCACCTGATCGTACGCGTACTTACAGTGATTCCATATGCACGAGTGTTGCTGCGTGGCAACTCGGCGCTCCATATTCAGTATACAGCCATTAAGAAGAGAGAAAAAAGTTAGCTATTTCAATAATATACTGTAGTATATAATTTAAAATTTTATAAATTAGCATATGTGCAGCCATTGTTGAATTGTATTCTATTTCAAATTTATAAGGTAATTCTACAATTGCATCTCATTTAAACTAAATTCATTTAAGATGTAAGGATTTAGCGACACTTTGGAAGCTCAGCATATACTAATTATTTAAATGGGAATTAAAAATTACATAAATAAAAGGATAGCCCTCTATTTTTAGAATACATTGCTTATTGCCAATATCAGTAAATTTGAACATAAATATTGGCGCCAAAACATTTTATGAACTTAAAGCGCCGTTCTTATGCACTACATTGATCAGCCTGATGATTTTCAATAATAAAGTCCTTTTATTATTAACGTTAATATATTTAATTCTAACGAATATTATAATTTTTTTATAAATTAAATTGGTTATTATATTAATCTAAAAGCATTGTAATATAAAATATCTACATAAAATTATCGAACATTGAAAATTGAACATTATCTTAATATAAATACCGATAGAATATTATTAATATTAAGTACTGTAAAATAATCGATATTATTAATGTAATTATGTAACATAGTAGTTATATTATATTAATAATATTCGCAAAATTAAATGATTACATTTGAATTTTTCTTCGAAAAACGAATACTAATTTTTATTCCTTAAATCACATATTTTGAATTATGAAATTCGAAATGTAAGCAGATAACATTAAATTTTACGTTTCTATGTTACATAAATATTGGACATACTACGACAAGCTTTCTATGTAATAATTATTTTATAACTGCTTCATCATTTTATCCAAAGACGAATTTTTGTTCAAAATGTATTAAATATGCTTTATATATTAATAATTACTTATATATAATTATAGTATTCCATACCATATATTTCATTATAAATCCAGAAAAGAATTTATATTTTTCCAATATATTTTGTTTATTAAATTTATTATAAATTTGTTTACGATGAAAATAAGTAAGATTTAAAGAGTACAAGTTCTGTTAGTACAAATAGTACAAATATTTCATTTTCAGACATGTTGAAAGTACAGTACGATACACATAAACCAGATAAAAAATTAAACAACAGACTAAATATTTTAGCATCACATTTTCGATCAAATTTCCGTCAAACTCCTTCATTTTTTGTTCGAGTACCTGGGCGGTAAGAAATTTCTTTAAACTAAATCTAGAAAAAAAATTTTTTAATATCCTTCCTTTATTAATCATTATTTTATATTTTATATTTATAAGAATTTATTTTACTTTAGAGCTTAATAAACTATTTTTGCCCACTTAAATATGCTTTGTATTCTTATTTACGCTCATTTCTTAATATTGTCTTCCTTTTATTGATAAATAAATGATTTAAAAAATATTATAGGTACCATTTATTATATGACTACATCAATTAATTAAAATTTATACTTCATTTTTTTTTATAAATATAAATTATATTGAAATATAATTTCAATTTCATATTTAATTTAACTCCCATACTGTTAAAATAACTTTATGGTTGATTTTGTATTTTGTTTGTTATTTAACAGAGTTAATTTAATTGGTGAGCATATAGATTATTGTGGATATTCAGTATGTCCTATGGCTATCGAACACGATATTTTGGTAGCAATATCTAAATCGGATGAAGATGAATTGCAACTGATCAATATAGACGATAAATATCCAAATTATGAACACAAAGGCTTACGAAAAATAAAGTATGTACAATATTAAAAAACGTGGTAGACTTTAATAATCTTCTTTTAATTTTTAAATCATAATAAATTTATACCCATTATTGATTGAATTAATTTTTTACTCTTTGTTTTTATATAATAATTTAATTATTTAATTATTTAACTATTCATTTAGTAATTATAAGTATAATATTATTACTTTTTTTTAATTATAAATGCTAAGCAAACAATTATGTGTTTTTAATAATTAATTTCAATGTACGTTATATATACATATACATGTGAGGAATATGTGTATTCGTTTAATACATTAAAATTGTAAATGAAAACGAATAATAATTTAAATATATATATAAATTTTGAAATATTTATCAACTACTTTCCATCTGACTTTCTAAAATATAGACAAAGTTATTTAAATTTATCCATTATTAAAATATTAGAAAATTTATTCTCAATTTTGAACTGTTTTCTTTTGTGGAAATTTTAAAAAGGCTTATTTTATCCTAAGTTAACGTTATAAGCACACTTGCTTAATTTTAACATTTATTAATCTACGAAAAAAATGTTATTAAAATTGATTTAATTAGTTTTTACTTTTTCGAAATCCTTTACATTTATTTCTATTTCTGTATTTTAGTAATTATTTCTTAATTTGTTTTCAAAACAATTATTGAAAATTTACAATACTTTTTAATAAGTAATCTTATTTATGGTTATATAATTCTTTAAAAGAAAAAATTATATTAACTTAATGTATATTTAAAATTCAATTAATTTGATAATTTCTTCTAGGAAATATAATATTTATATTTAATGTATTATAGACAATATGAGATATAAAAGTAATACAATTTATATTTCTAATTGATAATATCAATAATTATAAGAATTTAAACAGCAATAATATATTATATAAAACCACTTTCAAAATTGTAAAAAATTCACTTAAATAATATAAGTCTCTGAAAATATTATATACAAAATTTTATGAATAACTCAGAAGGGCAAGTAAAAATAAAAAAGTAGACAATACGTCTATTATCCACGCATAAAGTAATTTATCAATTTGAAATAATTCAATACATAGTTCTATTACGAGATACCTAAATTATATCCTATGAAATCTGAATAAACCTTTAAAAAAAAAAAGTATTTAAAACTTTGCATCTGAAATTTATGTACTTTGCTGACGCACTTGATTAACAGCAGTGTTCGTGGCAAGGGTCGCCTTGACATTAATGAATTTACTTGATGCCGTGGATGTAGCTTCGGTTTTGTTACAACATGTGAACGAACGCGCAGTACTTAATTTAACAAAATGCGAAATGAACCAACTACAGGAAATTAATTTTCACGACTTGTAAAATGTCATTTTAAACTTTAACTTGAAATTATATGAAATTGCATAGTTAAAAAATCAATTATCTAATTATTGATAAAATTAATGAAATTTCAATATCAATTATTAGACAAAATAAGCAAACTAAATAAAAATGTAAAGAAAATAGAAGATTGTAATTTTCTAAAATATCATATCCACGTTAAAAAAAAAGAATTAATTTTTAAAAATTTTTATTAATTTTAATAAAAATTCAAAAATTTATCATCATTATTATATAATTTAAAGTAAATACGAAATTTAAAATTTTAATTATTCTTATTGATAATATTACAAAAGTTAAATGTATTAATTGGAATATCATAACTAATATTCATATTTGAATTATAAAATAATTAAATTTCAAATTTCAATTATATAATAGCAGTATTATTTAAAGAAGTATTGTATTTATATTTTAAAGGCAAATTTATAAATATCACAACAAATTATATTAAAATTAATAAAATGTAAAAGGAAAATATATCAAATTACAAAGAATTTTAAGAAATCTAATGAAATCAAGTATTTTAAATGTTATAAATGATATTTTTAAAACAAATTTATTAATTTAAAAGTATGACTTTATTAATAAATAATTCATTTTAATGCAAGAAAACTATATTTGTCGTTATAAAAAACAAAGTCGTCTCTAAATGCAATGAATGTACACTGAGAATGCAACACGGCGATATAAAATTTTATTCCATTTCTTTTAATGTTTTACTAGTACTAATAGCTTTAAGGATAAAAGGAATATTTAATTTACTAAGTAATTTTCTTTTTATTAATGTTCCTTCAATCTTTTGCAATTATAATTTAAAAATATATTGATACTTGTTTCATCTCGATGACAAAATTAAATAATCATTGATTATTAAAATATCAATTGGTTAATTAAAAAAATCTTTTATATTTGAAAGTATTTTTTTTAGTGATATTATATTATATTAATAAATAAATGCAATTGAAAAACTAATTTAGTTTATTAGGTAGAATACAAATTATTTTACATTTTTTTAAATTGTATAAAAGTGCATTGTCTTGAATAAGGTTGAATTTTTCATATATTTGTATATCCATAAAATTCTTTTGAATGCAACTGGTAACAAATATCAATGAATAAAGAAAAAAGAATACTTTAATTTTTAAAATATTTTAATTAAAAAATTAAAAACTCGTCTGTAAAAATGATATAAATGTATATATTTATTGCTAAGAACATTTTTCAATTTTACATTTAAAAATCAAAATTTTAATATATATTTATACGTCTTTCATTAATTACCGTAAAAATGATCGAAAATAATACTTACAGTTTTGGTTTTCAATTCCATTTACAAATTTCATCTGTTCCAACACTTACACTTACAGGTCTTTTATTCTCTGTTTCACATTTGCATTCAAATTGTCTATTCTTTACTTATTTTCATATGTTATTGTAACAAACTCTCTGAAATGCTTTTTTTTAAGTATGAACTGTATATCTATGCATATATATATATATATATATCTGTATACGCAAGCACACACATATACATATGTAATTACTTTTAAAAAATGCAATCTATATAGCTACGTATATATAGCCAATGTATATATGTGGATTATTAATCACATAGTAAATAAATATTTATAATTTAGTTAACTAATGAATTCACGAATGAAAACTAATTGTAATATTATATATAATAAATTAATTAATTCAAAAGAGGGATTATAAAATATTCATGTGGTATAAAAGAATTTTTATGTGTTACTTTTCATTATATAGATCTACGGATAGTGCAATCTCCCTCTCATCCACTCACATTCTCGGCCTGTTCAAATTTATATGATATCTTTCCTTTCTATTATCAAATATTTTATTTGGAAACTAACCGAACTCTTATATATCCAGATACTGATACTGTCTCTCTTTATATAATTCCTGATTATGTAGTATACCTAATTGTTACTTTAATTATATTTAAAATATGAATTCAAATAAATAATTCTTAAATATATGAATATACGTATGTATGTGTATAATACATAAATATTTGATAATGTACAACAAATTTTATATTTATAAAATTGGCTTATTAAAAATACAATAATATTGTGAGATTGGAATAGTATGGTGATTTTAATTATTGAAACAATGTAAAAGCGATTAAATGATGGAAAAATAAAAAATTTTAAAGTCTGAATTTGCACATTTTAATTTTACTTTTATCATTTTAATGATTTACTAATGCTAATATGCGTATTAACTGAATCTGTATTACACTGATGATTTTACGTAGAATATTACATAATTTGTATTTGGTGCTCTCAATATCAGTCAAATATTTTTCTAAAAAAAATGGTACAACAGTACATTGAATATCACGTGATTATATAGCAGAAATTGACATTTTACTCGTACGATAGTTAAAATATGCTGTACCACTAATTATGAACTGAAATATTTAAAGCCCTTGCTGATCAAAGAGCTGCCTTAATTAGCTAATACAGGTATTCTAAATTGTTAAAAAAAAAATGTTCAAACAATTAAAAAATATATTATTAGTCATATAGGGTCTTATTACACGATATCACATTTAAAATGCACTATGGCAATGTCTCAACACGAAATTTTCACTACAATTTTAGTGAAAAAACCAAATTATCAATATGCTAACTATACATTAGTCTTGTGTTTTTATCAACTATATTAAACAAGTTATTGAACGCAAGGTCGCCATAATTCATTAATAGCATTTATTGAAAATCAATAAACGGGCTATATATTATGTAATATTTTATTTACAGAATGCGTATGAAATAAAAGAATATTTTATAGTCTTATTTATAAAGAATCTATTTCCAAAATCTTAGTCTGAATTTTAGATTTATCATGACAAATATGAAAAATCTTCTAAACATTATATTTATTAAGCTATATTCTGAATTTTATTGTATAGAAATTTACGATTAGATGAGAATCATACTGGTCCAAGTTGGCACAAGTATTTTCTTTGTGGTGTCAAAGGCGCCTTAGAAGTTATCCCCGAAGAACATATCCCTAAAGGTTTACTCACTGTAGTTTGGGGAAACATACCTCCAAATGCAGGACTTTCAAGCTCTAGTGCGTTAGTTTCTGCTGCATTACTCGCAACAGTTCATATCTGTCAGGTAATTATTATTTATTTGATTGTTTGTATATATGCATATGCATAGATGTATCGATTAATCGACAAATATTTATATGAGTATAATTGACGCTAAGTTCAAAAATTCAATATGTTACAACGATGTACAAATTAAATTTTTGAGATTAAAACTCAAATTCAAAATAAATACAATATAATACAATAACAAAAATAAATAAATATGCATACATATACATACATCTTTATATATATATATGTGTGTGTGTGTGTGTGTGTGTGTGTGTGTGTGTGTTTACAATAGTAAAATAGTTAATATTTTCTATTAATTCGTAAAATAAAGTTTTTTTAACTTCGTGGTGTAAGATGTTTAAGATACATTATCGTACATCAATAAAGAGCAACAACTAAATACAAAATTGTAATAAATTATTTTATATACAATATATGAAAATAATTTAATATTGGATATTTATAAATACATTTTTAACGAAAATAATACAAAACGAAATAATTGTAAATTTAATTGAGAATGGATATACTTAGTATTACATAATATTATTTATATTTAAAATCATATAGAATAATATAATCACAATACATACATAACAAAACGATTAAAACAGTAACAACTAATTCCATACGAAACTAATATTTTGTATAAAATAAGAACAATAAAGATTATTGTACTTATTATGTAATGTGATTTTAAATGTTTAATATCAATTATATAATAATAAAACTTAATACTATTCTTTTGCTAAACTATATATATGTGTACAGAAACTATGTATATATTGAATTATTTTATTAAACTTATTTTATTGATAAATCGAACGAGATTTATATTTTTTAATGAATACCTTCAATATAAAAATTAATTTTATACGTTTAATATTGAAATGCCTAGAAGAACTATTAATCTATAAATCATTGACAAAATATAATATTGTTAAGCATGATTATAGAAGCCACAAAAAAATTAATGTTAGTATTGATCAAATATATATTACCCTTAAAATATGTGATTGTACAAACATATAACAATTCATTCAATATTTATTTTTTTACGTGATTACATAAATTAAAAATTAAGCAACATTAAAATGGAAAGTATCGAAATGATTACGATCCCAAAATTTTTCATAATATTGTATAAGCTTTCATATAATTATTAATTAATAAGAACAATTTTAAATTCTCAAATTTTATAATGCTTTTTAAAATAAAATATGTTACATTATTTAATTTCATATAATATATATTATAAATTAATTTCATGTTGCAAAATTATTTATATGATAGAAAATGCAAAGATACATTAGAGTGAATATTATGGATAAGAAAAGATTTCTTTATATTTTCAAAACTAATAATCTTCATTCATCTTTTAATTTAGTGAAATTCATCGAACTAGAAATTTTAATGAATTATATGATATATTTTATTTGATAAATAAAAATTGTATTTGAAACAGTTAAATTATTAAATAATTGTTAGGAATTTAAAATTGGTTCTTTGTAACAATATTTTAATCAATTTTAATCAATTTTCTTTATTTTAAATCCCTACAGAAAAAATTACAAATAGCTAAAATATGAGATAATACATATAAATACTACATTGACTATTGTTTAAAAATTCCATCGTTACGTAAATTATTATGAAACATAATACTCACCATTATATTTCGATTTTATTAACTATGTCACAATTAATTTGCTTAACATTAGGAAAAATACCATCGATTTCTCTTTGAAATGCAGTTAACTTACAATCCCAAACATATAAAACTTCTATTATTTGGAATATTATTTAAATCAAAAAAATATTTTTCAAAAAACTTTAATTTCTTTTTACTGATTGTAAAAAATTTAATTTCTAATGATTTTTTTTTTAATTCTGATGACAAATTTGTCTATTATAAAAGTAGTACATTTACATACGTATACAAATGTATGCAAAAAAAATTATCATATTCATATAAAAGTTACTTATTTTTTTTTAATATAAAGTAAAATTATAATATAATATTTTCAGAATATTTCCCTGGAATATCTTCGGATTATCGATAAATAATGCTGAATAATTTGTAAACAATTGGCTCTTAAAATCCAACACTTTTACACTTTGCATATTTTCAAATAAAGATGAAAATGTGTATGAAAAATTTTATTTGTTTAAATTTACATTGTGTTTAAATTTTATTATTGTTCTTCTCTCGTGCACTACGTTATCATCACCCATAAAAAGCTTGTGCCGTAAAAACGAAGTACTGTAATTTTGCGTACAACAATATGACCCACAGCGACAAGAAATTTCTTACTTGCCTACTACAATGTCCGACTTTATATTACTTTACGTTTTTCCTAAATGTCTACGTCAAAAATAAATATCATTGAACTATTCTATTTTAAAACGAGTGTTTTACGATTTACGTTCATTTACATTTAATCATTTCTTTTATATTTATAATAATTTTATAAAAAAAAAAGTAATGAACTTTGTATGATGTATACTTTTCCGTTTCAAATACTTATACATATTTTATGTTACTTATAGAAGATTTTTATTTACAAATGTTTAGTTAAAAAAATTTGAGTTAAAATATAAAAACAAAATTATTACAAAAATTTTAGTCTAGCTTGCACAATCTTGAGAATTTATGATAATTTTATATTATTTTAACTTGACTATTTTTTTTCCTGTTTATATAATCTTAAAATCTAATATATTATTTGAATTGTATTAACTTATGAATTTAAATTATTTTTACTTAACTATGCTATGTATTTTCACAAAAAATTTCAAATATTTAAAAATAAATAGTAAACCAATTGACTTTGTATTCATATATTTATATTATTAATTAATCTAAAAGTGCTTTAGTTAAATTATTTATATTTTCGCTATATAATAATCGTAATAGAAACTTTTCAATACTTTTTATTATAATGCATAAAAGCAGATTTAATTATAAAAATATAACATAATCTAAAACCTATATTAGATGAATATTTATGAACAAATACGATAAAATATATATTTTAAAATGCATATATCTATTATACACTACAATATCGATTTTAAAATAAACGGACATCGCAAATATCAAAATCTTTTAAAAATTTATTATAAAATTAAAAATGATTTTTCTAAGTGTCTTCTGAATATAAAATGAAACCTAATAAGACGTTCAATATTCTTTTAAAATGCAGTATAAAATGTCAAAAGAAGATATGGCAACAGTGAGTGCCAAAGCCGAAACATACATTGGTACTCAAGGAGGTGGAATGGACCAGGCAATTGCCTTTCTCGGAAAAGCCGGTAGGAAGATATTTCGTTGTTTTTAACTAACGTTGTACTATTATTGCGAAAAATCAATCTAAATTATATAATCTAATTAATATAAATATAATTTTAAATTAAATATAAATAAATAATTCAATAAATAATTCATAGTATAATTTTTTTATATGTATGATATAATTATACATTATTTAGATTCAGTCATATATTAAGAAATTAATTATAAATAGAAATTAATCAAATTCTTGTGTTCATCATCAGTTGTAACAAATTAGCTTCAAGAACCTAATATAATTTCCTATAATTAAAAGAATACAAAATAAATCTCATAAACCCGAACAAAATATAAACAATGATAATATATGTCCACATAAATTAGGTAACAGTAAACAATAATCAAATACTTTGTAATGGCGATTTTTTAGGTTCGGCGAAACTAATCAAATTTAATCCATTATGTGCTTTTGATGTTGCACTACCGAAGAATGCTGTGTTTGTAATTGCACATAGTCTAGTAGATCACAATAAAGCTTCTAATTCTTACTTCAATACGAGGGTCTTAGAATGTCGTTTTGCAGCTCAGGTATCGTTAAACATCAATAAAAAAATAAACAACTTATCATTATCATACAATTTGAAGTCCAAAAACTTACATTACAGCTTAAATTGAAGTAAAGTTAAAAATAATAAGAAATAAAAACTTAAAACATCTTAATGTAATAAAATAAATAAATTAAAATTAATATCCCGATATAAATAGATTGTTTAAATTTTATAAGATAGATTTCAGTGTGTATAATGAATAAAGATATTATCATACTAATAATACAAGAGAATTTTATAATTCACTAAATATTCTAAACTAATTATGAAATGTCAAAATTTGCTGATTATATTACAGAGTTTACTATTTTAAAAACAGCTCCCAATTATAATTGTTGTTATTAGAGTTCAAGTACCTTTCAGCTTTCTATCGTAATTTTCAAGATAAAAATTCTGCTGACTTTTACATCCTTTAATAAATTGACTTTAGTCATAGACTTATCTTAATCTTAGGCATTAAATAAATGTTTTACAAACTATTGAAAATAAATTTGATGACATTATAGAAAAGTCTATAGCACTTTGTCTTTTCTTATAAATTTCTCAGCACTAAATTTTCAAAACTGCATAAGTAAATTCACACTTTAATTAAAATATATTCTATTTTCCAAATAAATTTTGTAATATTCTTTTTATTTTCATTTAATTTCGTCATGTAGCTATATTTATATATTTATAAAAAAATAAAATTTAAAGAAAACACATATAATTTTGTAATTGTAAAATTCTTAAAATATAAATATAAATTATTATTTCTATAAAAAAATATTTATATGAATATACATAAATATGCACATACCATATTTAATAGCTTCCATTACCTTCAATTGAATTATAAAGGAAATATTTTCTATTATAATAACTGTGGGAAGTGCCAAATTCCCTTAAAAAACATTTAATTAGAATCTTATCTATGTTTTCACATGTTTAATTAAAATCCCTTAAAAATATTTAATTATTAATCTATAAAAATGATATAAAAGTAGCTGTATTAATACAATATTATTATTTTGTTTTGTATACAAATAAAATAAAAACAATAATATAAAGAAAGAATTGTATGCGTTTATTACAATATAATATATAAATATGATGACTAATATTTTTTATAGAAAATATAAATTACTATATCAACGAATGAAATCTTTAATCTATTAGTCCCATCGTACTAATATTTTGAAGAAATTTCTAATTATATAATAATTTGAATACATAAATTTAATACAAAATATTATTATTAAATACTAATTAATTTATAGATAATATTCAGATATATATATATATATATATATATATATATATATATATAT